CATGCAGTCCTATCTGGATGCCCCTTCCACTGCTGTGCCCACCAAGGATCCCTTCAGAGAATCCTGTTCCTGGGTCCCATTTAATTAATTAATTTGGTTTGGGGACCACAAAACCAAATTAATTAATTTAATGTTCAGGGTTGCACTGTAGCACTGTCCTCCCGTTGTTCATCGATTTGCTCGAGCGGGCACCCATAACGTCTCACAGTGAATTGTGAGATTTGTTGTTACTGTTTTTTGGCATATTGAATATGTTCAGAGTTACTGTGGAAAATTCTTCAGGGATTACTCCTTCCTCTGAACTCTTAGTGGGGGTCAGGAGGCCACGTGGGGGTGCTAAGGATCGAATCCAGGTTGTCCAAATGCAAGGCAAGCGTCCTACCCACTGTCTCTCCAGCCTCTACTTTATTTAAAGAGTGACTTGCGGGGTGGGAAAGCCCATCTACTCCAAGGCTGAGAACCTCCAGACCCTGCTCTGCTTTGCTCCACAGACCCTGGTCCTGCTGACCTATATCAACCCGGGGCCTGCCTCCCACCCCATTGTCCTCACATCTGAAGGCGGGTTGTGTTCCTCAACAGATGTTCCTCATCATAGCATCTCCCCACATCTGGATTCCCACAGAGGCGGGGGTGGGAGAGGGCCGGACACAACCGAGGGGCCTGTTTCTCAAAGACCTTTCCTGGGAGGCCCTGTGAGAGTGGGGGAAACAGGCCCAGAAGTGGCGTGCGTGCCCGTGCATGCCCACGGTAGAAACTGCACGTCAGCCCTCTGCAATGCAGCCCTCTCCAACCTGCCCTGGGAAAGGCCTGGCAAAGCTCCTATTCTCTCCCAGGTTGCCTGAAGGAGGCTTGTCCCCGTCCTTCATGTACGAAAGAGCCATAACTGTTTAGATTGGACACAAGAACAATGCAAAATGACTAACGTTCACACAAGAACTGTACTCATGTCAAGCTGGACTCACTGAGAAAAACATTTTTACCATCTCAAAGTTGATTTGGTTGTTTCTTTTTGGCCACACTCAGTGATGCTCAGGGTTTACTCCTGGCTCTGCACTCAGGAATCACTCCTGGCAGTGCATGGGGACCAAATGGGATGCCAGGGATAGAACCCAGGTCGGCTGTGTGCCCTACCCACTATACTATCTTTCTTTCTTTGTTTGCTTTTTGGGTCACACCCAGTGATGCTCAGGGGTTACTCCTGGTGGTGCTCGGGGAACCATACGGGATGCCAGGGATTGAACCCGGGTTGGCTGCGTGCAAGGCAAACACCCTGCCCATTGTGCTATCACTGCAGTCCACCACTATACTACCACTCCAGAAATTATAATGCTGGATTTGGTTGTGGGTTTTTTTGTTGTTGTTTGTTTTGGTTTTTGGGCCACACCCAGCAATGCTCAAGGCTTACTTCTGACTCTGTGCTCAGGGATCACTCCTTTGGCCAGAGTAATACCACCGTAGGTAGGGTGCTTACCTTACATGTGACCTACTTGTGTTCGATCCCCAGTATCCCATATGGTCCCCAGAGCACCACAGGAGCAATTCCTTAGTGCAGAGCCAGGAATAACCCCTGAATATCACCAGATATAGCCCCCAAACAAACAAAATAAATCATTGAATAAATAGCAGTACTCCGAAAGAAAGAAAGAAAGAAAGAAAGAAAGAAAGAAAGAAAGAAAGAAAGAAAGAAATCACACCTACCAGTGCTCAGGGGACCATATGGATGCTGGGAATAGAACCCAGGACAGCTTCATGCAAGGTAAGTGCTCTATGCATTCTATTTCTCCAGCCCTCAAAGTTGACTTGAAGTGACTTATTAGAGACGTGTTTTTGTTTTGTTTTATTTTGTTTTGGAGCGATAGCACAGCGGCAGGGCGTTTGCCTTGCACACAGCCAACATGGCCGACCCGAGTTCGATTCCTCCGCCCCTCCCGGAGAGCCCGGCAAGCTACCGAGAGTATCTCGCCTGCATGGCAGAGCCTGGCAAGCTCCCCGTGACGTATTCGATATGCCAGACACAGCAACAACAAAGTCTCCAATGGAGACGTTACTGGGCCCGCTCGAGCAAATCGATGATCAGCGGGAGGGCCTTTACCTTTACCTTTTATGTTTTTTAGCTTTTAGGTCACACCTGGTGTTGCTGGTGGGAAGAGCTACTCCTGGCTCAGTGATTGAGGATCGCTCCCAGAAAGACTCCTGCGTGCAAGAGAGCGTGTTCTGAATCCTAGAGCTGCGTGCTGATAAAGAACAGGTGGCTGACACAAGCGAGAGTGACACAAGAAAATGAGAGGACAGTCAACAAAGCAAAGACAAACAGCACGCATGAGAAGCGTGAAAATGGGCCTCCTGGAGCGATAGTACAGCAGGCAGGGCACTTGCCTTGTCTGTGGGCAACCTGGGTGTGATCCCCAACATTCCATACTGTTCCCCCTAGCCAACCTGGGTTCAATCCCCAGCATCTCATATGGTCCCCAGAGCCTCGCAGGAGTAATCCCTGAGCACAGAGCCAGGAGTTAACTCTGAGCACTGCGGAGTGTGTGTCCCACCTTCAAAAAAAAGAAGTAAAGGGAAATGGGCCTCACATCTGACTCCAAACCACCCTGCCCTCTCCAATGCCTAAAGAATCTGACAGGGGCTGCAGCGATAGTGCAGCAGGTAGGTACACAGCAGGGCACTTGCATTGCACACAGCTGGCCCAAGTTTGGGCCCTGGCATCCTATATGGTCACCCAGGCCCCACCAGGAATAATTCCTGAGCATGCCAGGCATAATTTCAGAGCCTGGAGTAAGCCCTGAGTATCGCCAGGTGTGACCCCAAAACAAAACAAGAATCTGACAGCATGAATCTTCCCAGCATATCTTGAGCCGGGAGGGGGCAAGTGCTTTGTTGGCAGCAACCCCCCCCCCCCCACACACACACTACCACAGACTTGTCTGCTTCGCTGCTGCCTGAGAGGGCACCGGAAGCCCGCTCAGCGGCCTGACTTGCTCCTGCTAAGAGACTGCTTGAAAGGAGTTTAATCTTCTGCTATTTGTAACCGACCGTGATTTTGCTGTGAGCGTGACACTGATTTTGTGTGTACTACCTCCTGGGAACCTGCAGTGTGCTTATGACTGACTGTGGGTGACCGAGTCACTCCCTCCTTTGTTCAAGGCCTGTCTGGATCTTATCTGACTGGCTCCACACTTGAGCTCTATCTCTGAGAAGCAGAGGCAAGGCTTGGAGGATTCCGTGAAATGTTTCTTGTTAAAAATGTTCAATAAAGCTGACACTATGGAAAGATACGAGTCTTTTTGTGTTGGTTTGTTTGGTGTTGGTTTTGGAGCCATACCTGGCAGTGCCCAGGGCTTACTCCTGACTCTGTGCTCAGGGATAACTCTATTTTTTCTTTTTTTTTTTTTTTTTTTTTTTGCTTTTTGGGTCACACCTCACGATGCTCAGGGGTTACACCTGGCTCTGCACTCAGGAATTACTCCTGGTGGTGCTCGGGGGACCATATGGGATGCTGGGAATCGAACCTGGGTCAGCCGCGTGCAAGGCAAATGCCCAAACTGCTGTGCTATCACTCCAGCCCCTCAGGGATCACTCTTGGTAGTACTAGAGACTCTTTTGGGGATCAAAACCAGGTCAGCTGCATGAGAAACAAACGCCCTGCCGGCTGCATTATCTCTCTGGCCCCTCGGCACAAATATTCAATGTTATGCTCGCCACAACAGTAAACCACCCTCCATAGGCTACTCTTCAGAACACCCGGGCGTGCCTCTAAGAGGTAAAAGGGCCCTTTGGTGGTGGTGGGGGGCGGTGGGGTGTCTCAATTATGAAATTCCTGTGCCATAGAAGCTAATGAAGCTCAATTAACAAAAAACATTAACACAGAAAGCTCAACTGGCAACAACAGCTTAGTAACCCCCCAGACAAGGACTTAATGTTCCCAGGGTGAGATATAACAATTTTCACAAACTTTTCTTTTACTGAAACTTTGTTTGTTTGTTTTTAATAATTCCATTAGCCATTTAGTGGCAGAAAGCAATATACTATGAATTATTTGGGGCTGGCGACGGGGGCAGGCCTTAGGGGTGGTTGGGAAAATGGCAGCAGTGGTGGAGGGAGGCTCCCAGCGGGGTTGGGATTGGTGTTGGAATATTGAGTGCCTGTGACAAAGGCATCGTGAACAACTTTGCAAACCAAGGTGTTCAAATAAAGGGGGCGGGGGGAATCATATGGAATTCTCTTGGGGGTGGGGAGGAACGGGAGCAGCTCCAAGAAGTAACTAGCAGCGAGCGGATGGCTCTGGGCCTTGAGAGGAACCGAGAGCACTGTGTTTGGGAGAGTCGGGAGATTCTTCTTGTCCCTTTGTGTCAGTAGCTGAAGTGAAGAATGGAGATGAAGGCTGGAGAGACAGGACAGTGGGTGAGCACTTGCCTTGCACCAGTCAACCTGGGTTTAATCCCTGGCATATCTCATATGCTCCCCAGAGCCCCCCGAGGAGTGAATGCTGAGTGCAGAGCCAGGAATAAGCCTTGAGCACTGCTGCGTGTGCTCCCCCCAAAATAAAATTCATTTGAGGGGCCTAGAGCAATAGTATAGTCCCCAGAGGGCTGGCTGGCTAACCGGAGCCCCAGGAGATGGTCACGTTGGAGGACCTTGTGAGCTTCCAAAACCAGAAACAGGGACTAGACTCTTGTCTACGAAGGCCCAGGGAAAACATTCCTTTTTAGTTTTTTTTGGAGAGAACATTCTCGGTGGAAGAACCAGCCACGAGGGGAGGTGTGGGGACAGGAAGGGCCAGCTTCTAAAGCTGCCCACCTGGGCCAGGAGCACACTGCCAGGGGGGGAGGGGCGGGGCAGGGCTCCTTGGGGGGGGGGTCTCCGACTCAGAACCCCTGTGTGGGGGGGGGGGGGGGAAGGCGGAAAGTCACTTCGCAGTTCCCAGCTGGGCCTGCCCCAGGGACCGCGGGCAGCGCGTTCCCACGCAGGGGCGGCCCGAGGCTGCGGGGCGGGGCGGGCGGGCGGGCCGGCGCTGAGCTGCTCCGTTGGCGCTTGGCAGCCTCCCGTTACTCCCGGCTCAGCCTTCCTGCACCTTCTGCAGAGCCAAAGGTGAGTCAGTGGGTGGTCGCTGCCACCGAAGAGGACCTGGGTGTGTGTGGGGGGGCGAGGGGGATCTTCGGACATCGTCAGAGTTGAGGCCTCCGGTGGGCTTATGGGTTTGGGGGTGCTCTCCCTCCCCCGCCCCCCACTGTCTCCTGGGCTGGGACGCTCACCCACTTCTCCCTTGGGAGACTCCCCCTCCTTCCCAGATGTGAGCTGCCTCCCACTAACCACTTAGGGGAACCCCCTCTCTCTCTTCTCTCTCCAGATGTGGGTGCGGAAAGGGGGTTGGGGCATCTCTCATCCCCGAAACAGGAACCCTCCCCCCCTTTTCTCTGCTCAGGGCCTGAACTTTTCTGTCCCTCTCACCCTCCCTTAAAGCCCCTTCCCTTTCCCTAGGCCCACGGAGATGCTGGCCCCCTGGGCCTTTCCTCATGGGGTGGGGGTGACGCTGGCCGGTCCCCCGGTCTTCCCGTCCAGCCCAGCACAGCAGGCTGCGTGCACGTAGGCAGCCAATTAGGGGGGGGGAAGAGGTGGGGGTGCTCTGTGTGGTCTGTGCTGAGACCTTGGCAGATGGCCCTGGGAAGAGAAGTCCCAGGACTCCCTCCCTCCCTCCCTCCCCAAGGGGGCACATGTCCAAGCCAGTGGGGGACTGGGCCAGAACCCCCCACCCACACCCTCATCCCAGCTGCTCAGACCCCGTGGGAATGGTCAGTGGCCTCCCCTGCTCCGAGGCTGAGATCCCAGAGCGAGTTGCCAACAGCTGGGGCGGCCAGGGACCCCCAGAGGGGCCCAAGACACAGTGAGAAGGACAAGGGGGGTGGCTGAGGGGAACCCTGAGACTCCACCCTCGTTGACTGAAAGAAGGGCCCTGGGGGCAGAGGGCGGTGGGAGACTCATCCCCTCCCACCCCAGATGTTCTTCAGAGCAGCCTGGAGCTTGGCGCTGCGGCGAGGGGGCCCCGGAACCCGAGCTGCTCACGGCCCAGGAGCCGCCACTGCTGCCGGTAAGACCCCTCAGCCCTTTCTCCCAGCTGAGGGAGGATTCTGGTTTGGGGGGGTTTGTTTGTGTTGGTTTTGGGGCCACACCTGGCGATGTTCAGGGCTTCCTCCTGGCTCTGCACTCAGGAATCACTCCTGGCGGTGCTCGGGGGACCATATGGGATTCTGGGAACTGAACCCGGGTCGGCCGTGTGCAAGGCAAATGCCCCACCCGCTGTGCTATCGCTCCAGCCCGTGTTTTTGTTTTTTTGAGGGGCACACACCCGGCGGTGCCCAGGGGTTACTCCCAGCTCTGCACTCAGGAATCACTTGTGGCGGTGCTCAGGGCACACCATAACGGATACTGGGGATGGAACCTGGGTTGGCTGCATGCAAGGTCAATGCCCTCCCTGCTGCACTGTCTCTCCGGCCCTGAGAGGATTCTGGCTGCAGCCTGCCCCTGTCTGTGTGTGCTGCCCCGGGCCCATCCTGAAACCACTCTCCACAGTCCCACTCCTTGCTCTGTGCACAAGGCTGCGGGGTGAGCAGGCAGCACCTCTGTGGCCCCTCAGGTCCCTCAGGGGTTCCAGCTCCTTCACAGACCCCCGTGTCTGTGCTGACCAGAAAGCCCAAAGCAGGAGAGAGCCCCACAAGGCCACTGAAGGGCCTTCTGCCTTTTGGTCACCTCCATTGCACCCCACAAAGCTATGAGAAACCTTTGGCGCTGAGAAGCACCCTTCAGGCTTCAGATCACAGCCGTGTGACGTGGGTGCTGGGCTCTGATGTCCGTTTCTCAGGAGAACATACTGAGGCCGGGAGACCTAGAGATTCAGAGGTGGCAGTTCCAGTGCCCCACTCAGGGGCCTCTCTGGTGGCCATGAACAGCGGCAGCTTCCCTCAGACCCTCCTAGAGCTGTGTCTCCTCCTGGCTATCCTGAGCACCCATGGGGTGCCCACAGGTTTCACCCTCAGGGAGAGCCGGGCTTGGAAGCAGAGCAAAACCAACCTCAATGTACGAGTGTCATGAATGGTCCTGAAGCTTCCCACAGGAGTGTGAGGTCTTGGGGCCAGAGTGATAGCACAGTGTGGAAGGCGTTTGTCTCGCATGCGGCACACGGGGGTTCGACCCCCGGCACCCCATATGGTTCCTGAGCCTCTCCAGGAGTGATCCTCGAGCGCAGTGCCAGGAGGAAGCCCCGAGCACTGACAGTAGAGGACGCCAAAAGAGGGTGAAGGGGCGATAGCACAGCGGGTAGGGCATTTGCCTTGCATGCGGCTGACTCGGGTTCGATTCCCAGCATCCTATATGGTCCTCTGAGCACTGCCAGGAGTAATTCCTGAGTGCATGAGCCAGGAGTAACCCCTGAGCATCGCCAGGTGTGACCCGAAAAGGAAAAAAACCAAACAAAATTTTAAAAAAAGGGTGAGGTCTTTTCTCTCCTTCCCCCACTTTGCTGATGAGGACCGTATAGCCCAGTGAGTTGGAGGGGCTTAATGGGCTGGAGCTGGCCCCAAACCCAGTGAACTCCGGGGTGCCTGTGACTGCCCACGGGAGCACCTGGAAAGAGCTTGTGGAGCAGTTTCCCCCCCCCTCACCTCAGAGGCTTCACTCACTCTGGCCCCCACCGGCCATGCCCTCCTCACCTCAGACCTTCCCGGGGAACCTTGGGTTGGAAGCCGGGTGCAGGTGGGTGCTGGATTTAGCCAGAGTCCCATTCCTGACTCTGTGAATGAAGTTTAGCCCAGTGCCTGGCTGCTCAGTCTCCCTGTTTGTGAACGCAAGCGAACAGTCTCCCAGACAGTCGGGCCCCTGAGGAAGGCCGCTCCCCTAAGGCCCCTGCCTGGCTCCCAGCACCTGTCAGGGCCCAGTAAACGCAGCCGGCCTTGCTATCACTGGGGGGGAGGGGGGGTGGGATAGCCCAGGAGAGCCTCCAATCAAGGCCTTTGTGCCCACAGCTCACAGTAAGGAGAAGATGCCCCCGTACACTGACTACCACGCCCAGCGCTCCTACCCCATGCCCAACGAGCCCTTCTGCACGGAGCTCAGCGCTGAGCAGCGGGCCCTGAAGGAGAAGGAGAAGGGCAGCTGGGCCCAGCTGAGCCACGCCGAGAAGGTGGCCTGTAGGTACCGGGGGGTGCGCTGGGGGGGACTCTGCCAGGGAGCGTGGGCAGGGAAGGTGGGATCCCGACCCCAAGACAGTCAGAAATCCCCACAGACCCCACGCTTCCTGGGAAGCTTGCCTTTGTTCATTCATCTTTCATTCATTCATTCATCCTTCACTTGTTCATGCATCTTTCACTCGTTCATTCATTCCTTCACTCATTCATCCTTCATTTGTTCATGCATCTTTCATTCATTCATTCATTCATCCTTGTTCATACATCTTTCACTCGTTCATCCACTCCTTCTTCACTCCATTCATTCATCCTTCACTCCTTCATTAATCCTTCACTCCTTCACTCACTCATTCATCCTTCACTTGTTCATTCACTCCATTCATTCATTCATTAATCCTTCACTCCTTCATTAATCCTTCACTTCTTCACTCACTCATTCATCCTTCACTTGTTCATACATCCTTCACTTGTTCATTCACTCCATTCATTCATTCATCCTTCACTCCATTTATTCATCCTTCACTTGTTCATACACCCTTCCCTAGTTCATACTTCCTTCACTCGTTCATTCACTCCTTCACTCATTCATTCATTCACCCTTCACTTGTCCATTCACTCCTTTACTCTCTCCTCCATGTCTGTGGTCTGCTGTGAGGGGGCAAACACTTATGGCAGCACAGACTGAGAGGCAGGTCTGGAGCCCACAGAGCCTGCCTCGGGCTTCTCTTCCTTGGCGACATCTAGACCTCAGAGCTCCACCAACAACTGACCTTAACCCCTGGCCCGGGCAGTGTGACGTGTGTGTTTGGGGGGAGGGGGGAGGTTGAGGGTTTGACTCATTCGCTTCACCCTGGCTTCCCTCTCCAATCCCACAGCTTCTTCCGTTCTCTCTGCTTCCTGGGCACCTTCCCCGGCCCAGTTCACCTCCCCGCCCCTGGAAATTCAGATTCTGGATAAAGATCTGAAGCTTGTCCTGACAAGGTGGGGTGAGGTGGGGTGGGGTGCGCCAGGCCCGAACCAAAAGTAGTTCCTCTCCCCAAGGATCTCTGCCACTAGCTTTGATTTTTCATTAGCAATGTCTTTGCATATTTATTTAATGTGCTGAGAATGATGGGCACAGGGGAACATGCAAAGTGCATGCATGCGCGCGCTCTCTCTCTCTCTCTCTCACACACACACACACACACACACGCAAGTTAGCCTCCTGTGTTAGTCTCCTTTCCAGCCTGGCCCCTGTGCCCGGGTGCGTGTGGGCATCATCAGTGCCTATGGAGTCTGTCTGTGGAAGCAGCTCGGGGCTGCCCCTCTGCCCCTGCCCCTTCCCCCGTGACACACTCTGCACTCCAGGGACAGACTCTGAGAGCTAAGGTGTCCCCACATGTGTTCATGCTCTCCGGGGCTGCGGATCTCCTCACCCGGGGAGAGCTGCACCCTCGTTCCTTCTGCCTCAAGGAGTGGGGTTCTGGCCCAGCGCTCTGAGAGGGAGAGGCCCCTGGCTGGGGGTGGGGGTGGGGGTGGAGGATGGAGTTAGTGGTCCAGGGAGAGATAGTGGAGACATGGCACAAGGAATAGGAGGCAAGAGAGCTGTTTTCGAGTAATAATAAATGACAATAGGGGCTGGAGCGATAGTTCAGTGGGGAGACATTTGCCTTGCATGCGGCTGACCCGGGTTCGATTCCCAGCATCCCATATGGTCCCCTGAGTACTGCCAGGAGTAATTTCTGAGTGCAGAGCTAGGAGGAACCCTGGTGCTTCGCCGGGTGTGACCCAAAAAGAAAAAAAAATGATGATAGACACAACTCAGTGCTTATTGGGTGCTGAGAGTATGCCAGGTATGAGCTCACCTCACCTGCCAGGAGCCCTCGGAGAGAACTATGCCCCCGTTTCAAGAAGGAGGACACTGAGATTTGCCCTGGGGCACAGCGTCCAGTGGTGGTGGAGCCGCTGACTCGGCCAGTCTGAGCGGTTGTGAGAGAAACACGTCACAGACACTTCACACCCGTGACTGTGGAAGGGGCTGAGCAGGGGGGCAGGGACCCTTGACGAGGGAGGCTGCTTCCACAGGCTTCCTGCATCGTCGCTAGGGCTGGCGCGGCAGGACGGCACTAAGGGGCCCAGCAGGGTGCGGCTGCTGCCGGGTTTCGAGTCTGGACGTGGGCCTGGCATTTACGACTTCGCCTTCGGCCTCAGAAACGCTGCGTTCCCTGCTGTTCTGCACGTCCCACCCCGCCCGCCCATCTCGTTTCTTTTCGTCCCATCCCGACTCTTTCCCTGCCCGCCTCTGCTTGTCTCCACACATTACTCCCTCTGACAAACGCCCTCAAACTCCAGCTCACCAGGCTTCCGCCCCTTCCTGGAATCAGGCCTACAGTCCTCCTGGCCTGGCCTGTCCCCTTGGCTGGAAAGCCTGTCCCCTGTAGTCTGATTACTTTGAGGGCAGTGACCCTGTGTGATTTCCCTAGGATTCTCAAGCAGGACCTCAGGTATTCATTTGTTCAGGAGGGGGGTGAGGAGGAGCAGTTCTGAACCACTGCTGGACCATTCTCAGCTCCGGTCTAGGTTCCGGGAATCGGAGAGTGAAGATTCCTCATTCTCTGAGATTTGTAGGCGAGGAAGAAAGATCAGCAGTAAGACTGGAGCAGGTGGGGCATTTGCCCTGCATATTCACTTGGTTGAGCCCAGCCACGAGTGAGCACAGAGCCAGGAGTAAGTCCTGAGCACTGCCAGGGTGGGCCCAAAACTTTAAAAAACAAAACAAGGGGCCAGAGTGATAGTACAGTGGGGAGGGCGTTTGCCTTGCATGCGGCTAACCAGAGTTCAATCCCCCGCATCCCGTATGGTCCCCCAAGCAAAGCCAGGAGTAATTCCTGAGTGCAGAGCCAGGAATAACCCCCCAGTATCATGGGGTGTGCCCCCCCCCCGTAAAAATAAGAAACCAGAGGAATAAAAACATCTCTCTAGATGAGGGAAGCCAAGGTCAGGAACAGTTTGATGGAAGTCTGAATTAAGGAAGCTGGGTAGGGGACTCAGGATGCATGCAAGGCAACTTTTGCTGGCGGGAGCCCAGGTTTGATCCCCAGCATGACCGGGTCCCCCAATGAGTGATAGATCCCTGAATCATCTGACTGCAGAGCCAGGCCAAGTAGAGTGGATCCTGGCCTCTGAGCACTGCTGCGGAGAGAGATGGGAAATGCTTTAGAATTCAACTGTGGGCAGAGGATGACCACAAAAGGTCAGAGAGGGACTAGAACAATAGCACTTGCGGGTAGGACGTTTGCCTTGCACGCGGCCACCCCGGGTTTGATCCCCAGCATCCCATATGGTCCTCTGAGCACCCCAGGGGTAATTCATGAGTGCAAAACCAGGAGAAAACCCTGAGCATCACTGGGTGTGACCCCCCAAAAAAAACCCCAAAAGAGTCAGAGAGACAGCTCAATAACTGAGCTCCTGGTACATCCGGGACCCCTGGGTCCAATCCCCAGCACTACTTGGTCCCCTGAGTACCACTAGGGGTGCTCAGTGCTTCCTTCTGGCTTATTTATGGCTGTAACCAGGTCTTGGCCATCTTTGTACAGAGTGGATGCTCGGTAAGAGTCCATTGAATGGGGACCAGAGGAATAGGGCAACAGGCTGACTGATGTGCAGGAGACACAGGTCCAATTCCTTTTCCATTCCCCCCACCCAGGTTTAATTTCTGGGAGAAGGACATACATGAAGAGAGAGAGAGACAGAGAGACAGAGAGACAGACAGAGACAGAGAGACAGACAGAGACAGAGAGATAGACAGAGACAGAGAGACAGAGAGAGAAAGACAATGAGAGACAGAGAAAGATAATTTGCTGGATAAAAAAAAAACCCAACTCTGCTGTGGGTGGGGGTCCCTGGGGCCAAAAACTGAAATGCCTGCACCTGGCTTGCCTTCTTCTCCCCTACCCCCTGACCTCCACAGTGTACAGACTCCAGTTCCACGAGACCTTCGCAGAGATGAACCATCGCTCCAATGAGTGGAAGACAGTGATGGGGGGACTCTTCTTCTTCGTTGGATTCACGGCTCTGCTGATTTGGTGGCAGCGCGTCTATGGTGAATGACCATGCCCGACTTGGCTGCTGCTGTCTGGCTGTCGTCAAGAGCTACGCTCAAATAAGGGAGTCATGCTACTTGAAAGGTCCCCAGAGAGGTGTGGGGTAATAGGCAGAGCACAGATGCCTGGTTTGGAATGGGAGGACTCTACCTCTCTGGGCCTCAATGATCTTCTTCTGTGAAATGGGGACAATAGTGAGCCAAAGAGATAATTCAGGAGGTAAGGTGCTTGCCTTGCCTGGCTCCAATGCCTGGCACCACATATGGTCCCCTGAGCACTGCGAGGTGTCACTCCTGAGCACAGAGCCGGGAATTGCCCATTACTGAGTGTGGTATCCCCTGTAATAATATCAATCAATCAAATGGGAGCAATACACATTAGAATAATAAAATGGGGATATCTCAGGGCTTGTGGGAAGATTAGTGAGAGATATAGTGGCTAACACAGTGTCATGGATGTATCCTTACTATGCTGTTATTGACTACGATTTTTTTTTTGGCTTTTTGGGCCACACCTGGCTCTGCACTCAGGAATTACTCCTGGCAGTGCTCGGGGTGTTAGGACACGGTTCTGGATCTCCGACCTCAGACAAGAACCACACAGGAATGCAATCAGCAAGCAGGCAGTTTATTAAGCTGGCTAGCCAGGGTCGTGCACACACACAGCAATACCCAGGTCCCGTGTGAGAGGCCATATCCCAACCCAAAGTATAGGGGTTACTTATATAGGCCCACGTCGGCCGTTACAGCAGATTTGAAGGTCACAATTTATGTAAGTGCCTGCTGCGGGCTTCATGCGATATCTGGTCCGAGGGCTGAGCCCGGACCCGTGACAGCCATCTGTTTCATAGCTCAGGGGCCCGTACATTCCTCCCAGAACAAGCAGATAGGAAAGCCCTGAGTGGAAACTTTACTATCTTCATTGTCCTTGGCCCAGTCCGAGGCTGTCCTGTCCTAACAGGGAGACCATCTGGGACTCCGGGAATCGAGCCTGGGTCGGCTGCGTGCAAGGCAAACACCCTACCCACTGTACTATAGCTCCAGCCCCTGAATTTCTTAACATACTGCTTGATGTTGAGTTCCCAACACATGAGAACCCTCGCAAGATAGAAACTGTTCTTCTCTCACTGAAAAGATCAAAGACAGAATCAAGTATCAAGGACCATAGTGACTCTTCTCTGTGACTCTTCTCTATGTCTCGTTCTGCCTTCCTTACCCTGCAGCTTGCCAGGATTCTTAGCATTCAAGATGACTCCACACTCCAACTCCAGCCATCACATCTAAATTCTAGTCAAGAGGGAGAGGGAGTCCACGTTCCTCTTTAAGATTCTAAGTTGCCTGGGGCTGGAGTGATAGCACAGCAGGTAGGGTGTTTGCCTTGCACGCGGCCGACCCGGGTTCGATTCCCAGCATCCCATATGGTCCCCTGAGCACCGCCAGGAGTAACTCCTGAGTGCAGAGCTAGGAATAACCCCTGTGCATCTCCAGACCAGGAGTGACCCCTTTCATTTCACTTGGGAGTTTGTGAGAAATGCAAGTTCTCTGACCCTCATTGGATCCACTGAGGGGTGGGTGCAGCGATCTGCTTAGCATCCTCCAGGGAGTCTGAGGCCCACCCTGGCTTGTGCTGTGTTGGGAACAGGCAAAGGTGTGGGGGCAGAGCTGGTGGTCTCTGCCTCGGCTGACTTCTCTTTTTATAGACTCATCTAATTTCTTCTTCATAGACGTCTGGTAGGATTCCGACTCTGCATGAGAGTCGTTGGGGGAAATTCTAGTCTAGCTCAAAGTTTGATTCTAAAAGATCTATTTTTTTTTGTGCTGGAGCAATAGTATAGCAGGGAGTGTGTTTACCTTGCACTTGGTTGACCTGGGTTCGAACCCAGGCATACCATATGGTCCCTTGAGCACCCCCAGGATTAATTCCTGAGTGCAGAGCCAGGAGTAACCCCTGAGCATCGTTGGGTGTGACCCAAAAAGCAAATAATAAAAAAAAGATGTCTTTTCCTGCTTGCCTACCCATAAGGAGGGATAGAAAGTACCAGCAATAGGGCTGGAGAGATTGTAGTACAGCGGGTAGGGCACTTGCCTTGATGTGGCCAACCCTGATTCAAATTCTTGGCACCACATACAGTGCCTGAGCACTGCCAGGAGTTACTTAGTATTTTTTTTTGTCTTTTCTTATTTTTCCTTTTTTTTTTTGGTGGGGGGGGGTGGGCATACTGGGTGGTGCTCTGGGCTCTGCACTGAGGGCTCAGAGATGCCAGAGATGGAGCCCAGGTAGGCTGCAAGCAAGGCAAATGTGCTACCCACGGTACTACCTCTTCAGCCCTGAACTCAGGTCAGTTCTTGTTGGGCAGTTGCTTTAAGTCCCAGTCTCTTCCCTGATTTATTTATTTGGTACTTTGGGGTCAGACCTGGTGGTGCAGGGATCACTCCTAGAAGTCAGAACCATGTGTGGAGCTGGGGATCAGAACAGGGTTAGCCAAGAGCCTCAACCTGGCACAAACTCTCCAGGCTTCTTCCCTGATTCTTTTTTTTTTTTTTGTTTTGTGTGTGTTGGGGTCGGGGCGGGGGGCGGACAGGGATTGGGCCATGCTCAGTGATACTCAGGACTTACTCTCAGGAATCACTCCTGACAGTGCTCTGGGGACCATATGGGATGCTAAGGATGGAATTCGGGTCAGCTGTCTGCAAGGCAGACACTCTCTCACTGGCCCTGTACTTGCCTATTTTTTTTTTCATAATGTAGGAGTACTGCTACTTATTCAGCCATTGATTAAGCTGATTGCTTTCCTGATTTTTTATTTTATTTTATTTTATTTTATTTTGCTTTTTGGCTCACACCCAGCGATGCTCAGGGGTTACTCCTGGCTCATGCACTCAGGAATTACTCCTGGTGATGCTCGGGGAACCATACGAGATGCTGGGAATCGAAGTGCCAGGCAAACGTTCTACCCGCTGTGCTATCATTCCAGCCCCAGTCGCTTTCCTGATTTTTAAGTGAATACTTCTTTCCAGTCTACTATTCCCAACCACTTGTGGGGGGTGGGGGAGGGGGAAGGAAAAGAAAAAGCAAAAAGAAAAGGAAAGGAACCTCCTCTTGGATGCTGTAGTGACTCAGTGGTTGTAAACTTAGCAGCAACTGCATGGTTCAGGTATTCATAGAGTGACCCAGTCTCCACCACCCTAGCCAGGAGGGCCTGTCACAGACAAGTCGTGGCTCAGACCCTTCCAGTCTTGCAGTCGCTTGTTCAAAGTGACACAGCAATGGAGTGTGAGCTGGGATTTGAATCCAGGAGGCTTAAAACCAGTGTTCCTTGATTCTGAGCTCAGAGCCAGGAGTAAACTCTGAACATAGCCAGGCGTGGCCCCAAACCCATTACCCCTAAGGGGCCAGAGTCATAGTACAGCAGGTCGGGCATTTGCTTAGCATGCTGCCAACCTGGGTTCGATCCCTGGCATCCTCTATAGTCCCCTAAGCACCACTAGGAGTAATTCTTGAGTGCAAAAAAAAAAAAAACCCACCCCCAAAACACCCCTCAAGCCACTGCTCCTACAATTACAGAGGTGAGGGGTGGAAAAACTGAGGCTCAGAAAGGAAGGACTGAAGCCCCATTCTCCCGTGGGCAGAAGGCAAAGCTGGACTTGACTCCTGGGGTCTCTGGCAGTCTGGTGGGGGTGGGCTTGGTGGAATGGGGTACCTGTGTGGGGGTGACCCAGCCCACCGCTGAGCTCTGCCCAGGGTGGAGAGGGTATGCCCGGGCGCTAAGCACCCCTGTGTCCCGCTGCCCCTGCAGTCTTCCCGAAGAAGCCCATCACGCTGACCGAGGAGCGGAAGGCCCAGCAGCTGCAGCGCATCCTGGACATGAAGGGCAACCCCGTGCAGGGCCCTGCCTCCCGCTGGGACTACGTGAAGAAGGAGTGGAAAAAGTGACGACCACAGCGCCCACAACCCCACCAGCCCAGCCCGTGCAGGCCCTCTCCCCAAAGCCCAATAAAGCCGCTCTGCTCTCTCTCCTGCCTTTTGATTTTTTGGACACACCGGGCAGTGCTCAGGACTTACGTCTGGCTCTGTGCTCAGGCATTACTCCTGGAGGGTTTGGGGAACCATATGGGGTGCCCGGATTGAACCTAGGCTGGCCACATGCCAGGCAAGCGCAAGACTCTCTGTACTATCTCTGACCCCTGTTCTCTCCTGCCTGCAACCTACACTTTGCTTCTATTTTTTTATTTTGGTTTGGGGGGCCACATCTGGCAGTGTTCAGGGCTTATTCCTGGCTCTGCACTTAGGGATCACACCTGGTGGGTTTTGGGGACCATATGAGATGCCGGGAATCAAACCTGAGTTGGTCGCATGCAAGGCAAACACCTTACCTGCTGTACTATTATTCCAGCCCTCTTCAACCTGTACCTTTGCCCACCTGGGACCCCTCTTCAATCTGTACCTTGATCTTTGCCCACCAACCTACATTACACCCCAAATTGGGCAGTGCAGTGGATGAGGGGCAAGGAAAATGTTTATTTTCCAGGAGCTCAGAGTTCAGCTAATCTGGGAAGGCTTCCTGGAGGAGCTAAAGCTGGAGTAGAGTCTTGATTTGGGTGTATTGAGAGGGGTTCCCAGGCTCCCCAGCAGCGTTCAGTGCAACCAGGGGCCAGTCCTGCTCATTCTCAGCCCAACTGTGTGAGCCTGATGGCTTGGCATTCAGCCTGGCCATGCGGTGCTGTGTGTGGCTGTTGGCATTGGGCTGTGGGGCGGTGCTGGGCTCGGGCCTCGTGCAAGGCATGCTCGCCAGCCCTTGAGCAGTGCCCACTGGAGAGCTGAGTTCTAAGGAACAGGTGGAAAGGCAGGAAGAAGGGAAGGACTGAGATGAGCATGAGCAAAGGCAGTAACATTCATTCATTCATTCATTCATTCAGTTAAAATATATGTGTTGGGGCTAGAGCAATAGCACAGCAGGTAGGGCATTTCCCTTGCATGCAGCTGACCCGGGTTCGATTCCCAGCATCCCAAATGGTCCACAAGCACCGCCAGGAGTAACTCCTGAGTGCAGAGTCAGGAGTAACCCCTGAGCATCGCTGGGTGTGACCCAAAAAGAAAAAAAAACTCTGTGTTGACTATTCTCTCTCCCCCCAGCGCTCTCTCTCTCTCTCTCTCTCTCTCTCTCTCTCTCTCTCTCTCTCAGAATCCAGGGCCTTCCTTAGACAGAGAGGTTCTTTTATCACTGAACTTCATCACTGGAAAGAAATTTTTCCTGAGTGCCTACTGTATGTCAGGTACTAATGCAAGCCCCTAATTGCAGCAGTGAACAAAACCAAGTCTGGGCTTACAGCGGAGGAAGACTTAACGGAGGGAGACGGAGACAGATTGATGCGTAAGAGCAACATAGGGATGTGACGTGGTGCTCAGAAGACATGGCAGGGCACAGGGGTGGAGTTGAAAGGGGACAGGGACAGGGTGGTCGCTGAAGGCCTCTTAGATGACAGCCTGGAGTGATAAGGGAACTGGTCTTGTGTTAAAGACAGAAGAGCAAGTGTGAATGTGCTGAGGTCTGGGGCCAGAGTGATAGCACCATGGGTTGGGCATTTGTGTTGCATGTGGCCGACCCGGGTTTGATCTTTGGCATCCCATATGGCCCCCTGAGCACTGCTAAGTAACTTCTGAGCATCACTGGGTGTGACCCAACAAACAAAACGGTTCTGAGGTGAGCACTGGCTTGCCCATTTGGGAAGCTTAAGGAAGGTATCCTGACCACAGAGCAGGGGGACCTGGGGAGAGGGAGGGAGGGAACTGATTGATGGGAAGGGGAGTGGGCTTGGGGTGGAGAGCAGTTTACACAGAGCCTTGTGGGAGGTTATTCTGAATTGCATCAGTTTGAGTCATCTGAGGAGCAAATGCCAAGAAAGCATTAAAGGGGGAAAGAGCCTCCCTGGGGTAATGCCTGTGAAGGGTGAAGACAAGGGCAGAAGTGGGTGTTGAGGACATTAGTTACGACCGTCCTTTAGGCTGTGACTCAGGCCGGGCTGTCCGAAGAGAAGGAAGCAGGAGGAAAGGAGAGCCCAGGCCTCCAGTGCACTGTAATCTTGGGGACCCACACAGGAGGAAGCCGCAGGTCATTGGCACAAGGGCACCCCCCAGAGAGATGGGTGGTCTTGCTTACAGTATGCTGTACCCTGAGCGTGACCAGGAGGGACCCCTCAGCACTGGCTGATAGGCGCTACATACTGACCGTGTCGCAGGAGCATCCCCCGAGCACCGGGGTGTGGTCTCCAAGTCAAAGACTAACAAATAAACAAGTGCTGCCCAACAGAAAGAATATTCAGATAGAATGAGGAAGGATAAAGAGGTAAAGAGAATTGGGGCTGGAGTGATACTACAGCGGGTAGGGCATTTGCCTTGCACGCGGCCGACCCAGGTTCAATTTCCAGCATCCCATATCCCTGAGCACTGCCAGGAGTAATTCCTGAATGCAGAGCCAGGAGGAACCCCTGTGCAACACCAGGTGTGACCCCCCAGCCCCCCAAAAAAAGAAGTAAAGAGAATGTTCAAGATCAGAGGGCTGATGCACATGCTCTGCGTCTGGGGACTGGGTTCGACCCCCAGAGAGGCATCGTCCCCCCAAAAGCACCTCTGAGTACAACGTGATCCAAAAGCAAACCCCAAAGAAGAACACTGAAGAGGGTCTGCAAGAGAGTGTGGGGGCGTCTTCCCCAGGCTAGGGTTCAGATGCAGCTGGAGTGGGTGTGGTGGGAACCCACTGCACGGCTCTGCCACCTGGGCCACAGCTGTCCAGAGTCACCGGGTCACTGGGGTGTGTGTGTGGGGTGGGGGGGCTGGCGAGCAGGAGGCAGCCCGCGGAGACTGGGGGCAGCTGGGACTGGGGTTCATCGTGATCCGTGAGGACGTGGCATTTGTCCTAGGAGATATCTGAGGCGTGGGGCCCGCAAGGTGGCTGATAGGCGCTACATACTGACCTTTAAGAGCCTTTAAGAGACCCCCGCCCCCGCACACCCCAAGTCTCACACCTACAACCTCGGCGCAGAAGCAAGAGCTGCGCTCACGCGCCTCTTCCTAAAGTGTCCCCTCTCGCGCCCTCTACTGGCAAAGCCAAACAAAGCCTCTAAAGGAGGCAAGGTTCGGAACTGGCCTTAACCTCCAGGCTCATCATAAGAAGGTCGGATTTGATGCAAGATGCAATATATCGATAACTGGTAAAGCGTCTTTGAGAAAATATTGGGCAGGCTAATGGTAATACCTAGAGAAAAAAAATAAACAAATGAAAAAAATAAATAAAGCCCCTTGAAGGAGACCTGTGCTGGGCAGAAGTTCACGAGATAGGAGTGACCCCTGAGCACAGAGCCAAGAGTAAGCCCTGAGCGCCACTGGGCAAACACACACACACACACACACACACACACACACACACACACACACACACACGCCAGCAGCAGCAGCTACAACAAAAGAGAGGAGACTGATTTTGCAGACCGCCAGCTCCCCGTTTCTGGGGGACTCAGGACCTGTGAGGTAGAAGCCTGGAAAAGCTTCATATGACAACTCGACCCCGCCGTCCACCTTCTTGTCACCTTTCAGAGTTTTCTCACGCTGCTTAGCAGGAGAAATAGGGAAAAACACATCGGCATCACCGTCCTGGAAGTGGAAGTACAGAAACTGGGTCATTCCAGGGGCCCATGCGATAGTACAGCGGTGCCTTTGCTTTGCACCTGGCCAACCTGGGTTTGATCTGTGGCATCCCCTCTTGGTCCCCTGAGCCACACCAGGAGTAATTCCTGATTGCAGAGTCAGGAGTAACTCCTGAGCATCACTGGGTGTGATCCAAAAAGAAAAAAAAAGCTAAAAATAACCCACCAGAAACTGGGTCATTCCAAAAAAGGGGTTTTGCGAGGATGTGGTGTGAAGGGTAGGGCATCTATCTGACCTGTGCAAGGCTCTGGGGTAGGGTGGGGTGTGAACCCATGACTCACAAGGGAAACAACAATAAAAAATCTAAATGGAGTGACCAGAGCGATAGGCAGTGGGGCTTGCCTTGTGTGTGGTTGACCTGGGTTTGATTTTTTTTTTTTTTGGCTTTTCGGGTCACACCCGGTGATGCTCAGGGGTTACTCCTGGCTTTGCACTCAGGAATCACTACTGGCAGTGCTCAGGGGACCATATGGGATGCTGGGAATCGAACCTGGGCCGGCCACGCACAAGGCAAATGCCCTACCCGCTGTGCTATCACTCCAGCCTCCTGGGTTTGATTTTGATCCCGGCGCCCTTATGGTCTTCTGAGACTGTCAAAAGTAATCCTCGAGTAAAGAGCCAGGAGTCAGGTCTGAGGACAGCCAAGTGTGCCCCCCACCCCCAACAACATCAACAACAAAAAACCCAAAAACGAAACTACCACCACCACCACCAACAACAAAAAACCTAAATGGAGTCATTTGGGGTTTTGGTGGTTTTTTGGTTTTTTAGTTTTTCTTTTGCGGTCACACCTGGTGGTGCTTTAGGGATTGTTCTTGGTGGAGTTCTGGGAACAAAACACAGTACTAGGGATTGAATCTGTCTTGGCTGCATGCAAGGCGAGCAAGTAACCTTTGTACTATCTTTCTGGCCCTCCAAAGGAGTCATTTATTTTGGAAATGCAGGTGATTCACGCCTGCATTTTACTGATGGCCTCCTGTGTCTCAGTGATGGTGGCTGAACCTGTACTTCTGTGAACTGTTGCATTAGGGGCCTCAGGACAGATTCTGGTATTTGGAGAGTGTTTCACAGGTGTTTTGCGTTTTCTGCAGGGGCCACAGTGCATCTGCGTTGTGTAGAAACATGAGCATATTAGAGTGCAGATGGGTTTCAGACAATGATTAAAAAAAAGTGCCGAAACTTTGGTACATCTACACAATGGAGTACTATGTAGCTGTTAGAAAAGATGAAGTCATGAAATTTATATACAAGTGGTACAACATGGAAAGTA